CTTGTTACTATCTAATATCAATCTTTTGTTCGCTATGGATACCATAATGAATTCAGCTTGAGATCTAACCAGCAACCGTAAGATTGGAAAACAGGGGCTATAGTAGTTTCAAAGAATAAGAATAAGAATCTTTATTACCCTTTAAACATTTTACAGTGCAATAGGGTTCATATAATATTAAAATGTAATTAAATATTTCACGTATAATAGTAACACATAAGTAGTAGCACTCTTTCCCAAGCAGATAGCTACACACCTTAATTGCCTGCAACAGTCAAACTCCTTTTGATCTTCAGTCAAAGTAATACCTTTGATCCAATAGTCAATGGTAATACATAAAGTAGTTAAAATAGTTTGTGCCACAATTTCCCTCTACATCTCCTCACTAAACGACAACACTATGTACACACAGCATTTCTCACTGGTTACCTATATTGTTTATTTTTATTTACTAAATTCATCTCGTCATCTAATTAATAACTCATTTAAAGATTATAAAAAGGGTTTTCTTGATATGTTTTCAGCCATACAGATAGCTTTACTGTCGGCAATAGTTTATTATGACCCTCCAGAAATCTTCCGAGCAGATCATCCGTTCGTCTTTTACCTCATCAAAGTAGAGCCCACCGTGACAGTGTTTAGTGGACGGCTCAATAAGCCATAGACAGGAACGGTTCAAAAACTGACTATTAAATTAATTATTATAAGTAGAAATCTAACTTTTATGATATAAACTGAAATTGCCTGTTTATATAATTTTTTTCATCAGTTATTTAGTTTTTTTAATTTTTCAAGTTTTCACAATTAAGAAGATTTTAGTTAACAATGCCCAAATTAAAATAAGTGATATTTGACTTATTACTATTTTTAATTATTAAAACTGAAAATATTGAATAATGTTTAACTTGTTGTATTGAATAGCTGCTAGCAAGTTGTGTTAGTGATTTTTAAGTACAAAATAACAACTACAATGTGTTAAAGTTTTTAGTTTTTGTTCACATATAGGTGAATACCATAAGACTCTTTACCCTTGACCAATTTAAGAAACAACACTACTGAAATTTGACAACTACACTGTATAAACACTATATTTGATTGATATGTTATTAAAATTATAACAATTTTTATGTTGTGTAATTTATTTCTTACTTACAAAAGCCTTCCTCTTAGTGATATCCTGTTTAAATAAAACATTACCTGAAACAAATAATCTGAAATGTTATTTTGATAATCATATAAATTGTAAATACTTAACATTGGGGTAGGGGTATGAGTATGTAGCCCAAATTTCTCACAGTTGCAATATGCTGTAGAGAATGAAATAAATTAAATATATAAACTCCTAATGTCCAAACCAAATTAACAATCAGGTTTCTGTCCTCAATGTGTTTATTTCTAAAGACCATTCAGATTCAGCTAATTACAAACCAAACTAATGCAATGTGTTGTGATTGCAGGACTACACATTGTCACATACTCGCTGCCTCTTTCTTTCAGAGCAAATCGACCATTTACATTTTATCTTATCAAAGAAAATGCAATCTTGTTCAATGGAAGACTGAATAATCCTATGTTTTAACTGTCATCTAAATAAAATAAGTGCACCAATGAAAAAATAAATATAATTAAATCGTTTGAGTAGTTTTAAAATTATGTTTTCTCTCCTTGGTCTTATAAATTCCCATTTAGAAACAATTATATGTACAAGAAGTCTTACATATTACTACTAACAAATTACTATTACCTCTAACTTTTTATAATCTTCCATTTTGAGCTTAAACAAGATAACTGCTTGAAAAATACAGATATTTATAACTAATTTATACAGTGGTTTTTTACTAATTTGTTTGTGACCTGATTTTGGTAACTGGTTTTTGGAACTTTTTAGTAACACCTCCTGGCTACGCTTTATATTAATATTAAACAAATGCTTTAAAATTGTATTTGATATTAATATTAGATTAAAATATTACAAAGTTCATCTATGGGGTGGTAACTTTGGGAGCATGAAAACAATTAATGCACACTAGTATAACAGCATTATTTTTGTATGCATGTAGGCTACTCAACAAGTATTAATATACACACATTTTCACCAAACTATTTTGGTTGAAGTATAGATTTTTTACTCCTGGGAGATGTATTTATTTCAGGTGCAGTATTCAACACAAAATCTCTGGATTTAAGTATAAAAGAATTTATTGCAACAAGACCTTTTACATTTTGTCTGATTTCACATTCAAAAAATATTTTATTCACTGGCAGATTAAAAGAACCTCATAAAACTTGATTCCATTACATCTATATAAAAACTCCAGACAAAACTTTTAGATTGATAGTATTTAATCATAAGGTCAGTGTTTTTCATAGCTTATAGAAAATTAAATTTGTAAAAGTTTATTAATACCTAATACAGTACTAAACTAGTTGCAATAAACATTCTCTAAAAATATTGTAGCATGCATTCCTTTGAACTGCACTGTAACTATGTGATAGCCAGTCCACAATAGGTACCAGTGATCTGATTTTAATATGTGAAGGGAAAACCACTGTAACTAAGTCCGTTTTATGATGTTTCTTTAATTCTTCCTTGATAGGCCTACCTACTATCAAGGCAAAAATCAGTGCACATAAATGGAGAATTTTCATAATTATATATATAGAAGATTAATAAATATCTTGTATATATTGGTTTATAAGAATGCTATACAAAACCAAAGTTAATCAACCAAGAATGCTTTCCTGAAAGTCAAAAGTTAATTTATAGACAAAAAGTGTAAACTTGTTTATTATTTCTGTATTCAGTTAGACTCGTTAGTATTTTAAGAAAATTTAAATGAATGCTAATTTGTTAAAGCTAACATAAATGGCAAAGATCATTCGTTCCCCTTTTTAAGCGTTATGTAGTACTATAGAATTGGACTAATATGAGCAATCTTTTAAACTTTATAAACACCATGGTCATGAAATACGTAAAAACGTGCTCAGGAAACACAAGTAGACTGGAATGAGAGGAAGAGATGCTCAGTCAGATCAGATTCTCTTTCTTCTACTACTATATTCTTCCAAGAGGAACAATCCACGTTCATAAAGTGAAAACATTACGAGTTAAGGTTGAAACATAATCGGCAACTCTAGTGGAAGCGAAGCGCTTTTCTCCCTCTTCCCAGAGGGGGCCCTAGCACCCTTGGCAACTTCTGCGGAAGTTTGGTCATACCAAATTTGGGACGAGATCACACGAGAGGATCTGAATTTTCACCATGAGTTCCGAAACTCCTGAAAGGTGCTGAAAATACACAAAGATAACCATTGTTCGACAGCCATCGCCACTTGCGCTGCTGTAACCCAGCGAAATTCTTCCACTACACCCAAGCGCTTCCGCAAGAGTTGCCAAGCTCAAGCTTTAAACACATAAAACCATCAGTAAACAATATACATTTTGGTTAATTTAAGCTTTGTCTTTAAAAAAATGATTTATTATTTGTTTACCAAATGGAAAGTTTGGTTTAGTCTGCTTTGTCCTGACACAATCTAGCCTGATGATCAGCAAGCAGTATGTTGTATTTGTAATCACACTATGGGGTCAATTTTATTTATTAATCAAAAAAGTTACACAATTTCAGAAAAAAAGACAAACACAATACTCCTTGCTGTAATGATTCCTTTGAAACCTTAATAAATACACTTTGTTTGAGTAGAATTATTGATTATACAAACAACGTTAATTAATGTTCTTTGACAGATAAACGTGTAGGATAAAAACAAATCATTAAAAGGTGTGTAATGAAGAAATCTTCATAATTTAATTTAAATGCCCTGCTTACAATATCTCTTTAATGATTGGAAGGATTAAATTTGTGTGGTAAAATACAGTTTCTGTTATAAAATCCTTTGTAGAACAAAGCTTTTAGCAACCAAGCACACTAGCACAGCATAATTTGCCTATGAGCAAAGACAGGCTTTAGAAGTTTCATTGCTACCTCTGTAATTGTAAGCAGATAAATTTTCTTTACCTTTATGGCACCTGAATGCTAACTTTTCTGATTGAATACATAACACTGGGCTTTTCTGTTTAAAGCAACTTTATTTTAACAGTTTACAGATCAACTATTTAAGAGCTTTTTGATAAATACCATTTGCCGTATCTAGACTATACTAGTGATTTTTCCCGAGCAAAGTTTGGATCATATGGTTAATGTTATTTAAATAGCAAATAAATCTGAGGAAATATTTTTGTGAAAATCCAATTAAGAAAATAAAATGTAATTTGTTCTGTATGTTTGCTGCAGTAGGGGTATTTCTTAGAATTTTTCAGAGATGGATAAAGAACCATATACATAACAGGTTGTCCATTTTGAAGAAGGTAAAATCCCATCATTCTTTCATACTATAATATAACATTATGTAGGTATGTTCACGTATCAAAAGTCAGGTATCAAAACATAATTAGTCATATTATTATAGTACTCATTTTCAAACTAAAATTGATACACACAATCTAGAATGTTATAAAAAGAAAACAAAATTCACAGGAAATAAATGTATGTCCCATCTACCAAAAACACTTCTAACTGAAAATGATACAACAAAGTTTAAAAATTGTCTGAAACAGTATTTGATTAAACTTGTTCCTTATTCTCTTAACAAGTTTTTGGAGAACAAATAAAATAAATACCTACTCTGTTTTATTTTTAGTTTCATGTATAAAAATTTTATTTCTTAACATTTTGACTCACAACAGTGTACAATTGTACTTATATGAATAAAGGATAAAAAAATCTTGCATTAAAAATGCTGTTAAAATAAGCTACCAATGTTAAAATAAGGTACTTGATTGGTGGTGGATAACTTATATCAGTTATTAATTTCATGACTAACACTGAGCCCAATTTAAGGTTATGATTAATAACTGTAAAGTATATTTTGTTAAAACCATAAAAAATCAACAACTTAGAATGTAATAGAAGTACTAAATAATGAAATTTGTTTCTACTTTCTAGGTGTTGTTGAACCACTTTCTGGAGTTTCAGAAGACAACATTTTTTTTGCCCGAAGACCATTTATTTATTACTTAATGCAAAACAAAAAGTTTGTGATTATTTTTAGTGGAAGGTTGGTAAGACCTAAAGAATCTAAAAAAAATACCCTCAAAAATGTCAAGTCCCCCCTAAAAAGACAGTAATAATAATAATTGTTATAAAAAGTGGGACTTAGCAAGAGAACTAACATAAATACATTATGGGCAATAGAAAAGGAAGTTTTAGAAGTACCCAAGGACTTGGTTTGAAACCAAATACAATCCACACATAAATTAAAATCAAAATCCAAGTCCCCAAAGGTTAACCACAAAACCCTGAGAAAAATGGTTGAGTGATTAATAGATTCAGGTTTAAGTGGTATAAAATGTGCCACTCGTGGAGTGCAATACTGTTGAAATTTACTCTATGTCAGTGGCTCAATTTTACTTCCTTAATTTTTACTCTAAAGTTTGCCACAGATTTAACATTGGAACGGCATTTCTTTCTTCTAGTTCTTTCAATAGTCAAGGATACTGCTCAGTAAAAACAAAATAAATAAGGAAAATTACTGTGTGTTGGGATGTTTACAGCAACTTTGTAAAAGACTTTGCCCAATTAATAACACATAAAACCAATAGTGTAAACCTAAATTAAATTAAACTTTTAATTTAAAAGATTCAAATTTAATTATACATGAAATTGACAATTCTTAAAACATATCAAATACCAAAAGATTATGAACAAATGATTTTATACTACTACTGTAACGTTCCCTTCACACCATACCCTTTTCCGCCGTCCAGTTGAAACAGCACAATGTTACGTCTATGTTCTTATGTCTATGTTTCTTACATTTCATTGTTTCTAACTGTACGGTAAGGTAAATGTGTTACCTACGATCCTTTATTAAGCTAGCCTATAGTGTGAAAGGAGAGTTAAGGTTAGATCTTTGAAAGTTAAAAGAAAATTGATTTTTTTATACTGTTCAGATTACACTTGAAGTCTATTAGTCTTTTTAATTTAAAATTGTGCATATGTATATTTGCACGACATAGGCCTACATATGCCGACGGTGTATACCTAATTTTTACTTTTTCCTTGCTATTTTTACCATCTCTATCTATGCGCTTTGAAGAAGATTGTTATGACACAAAATAAATAAATTTTTAAAAAGAATACTATTAAAATATGTCCTGATAGTAATTTTATGATTGTCGATTCACAATCACTGTGATCTATTATATTGTACTATGTTTGGATAAAAGCGAGAGAGCCTGGATAAATTGATATCTAAAAAGAAAACAGAATGAACAGTGTGCTGCATTTCTTATTAATCATTGAAAGAGCCCATTTGCAAACTATGTAAACACAGGAAAGTCAGAACACCACCAAGGAGAAGAAATAGAAATGTTTTTTTTTTTTAGAAATAATAATGTTATTATGGGCAATCTAATGCGGCTACGAGTAAGGCTATTTGTAGAAAACACTAAAAAACAAGATCAGTTTTTAAAAAAATGATCAGATATTTACAAGAAATTGTGATTAGGCCTATATCGATTTGTTATGTACCTACATCATGAGTATTTCCAAAATCTTTGAGTCAAATCTTTTAAAGTCATCAGAAATTATTACTGTTATTCGTTTTAAAATAACGCTCTTAATACTTAGCAACAGGGACACTAGTTATAATTAAATCTCAATTCACTAGCTATCAACAGTGTGTGCGCAGTTGAAGTTTTGGTATATAAAAACTAAAAAGTATTGGTAACCTCAAGCAGAATTGTAGTTTTCAATTCACTCCATCACGTTATAATGTTTTACCTTACCTTTGCATTTTATAACATGAGGCTCATTTATGTTGTTAACAAATTTTTTACAGAAGCGTGAGCTAATTAGCATGACCAGCAAGCTAGTGCGTAAGCCACATAATGGCATACAAACTAAATTTATGACTACCTGATTATGTTTTGATAAACAGCATGTCTAAATTTTATAATAAATACTAATATTGAAGCCTACATGTACAAATTTTTAAACATTTGAAAAAGTTTTTTTGTCAATTTGTGTAGTATTCCCAGTCTCAAAAACAATTGATTATATATGTAGGTTTAGCCATAGATAAAACATAGTCCCTTAGGGGGACTAATAATAATAAAGTTTACGACCACTGGACGACCTCTAGGTCTATTAATAAATAGTTATAATAATAATAAGGGACTATGTTTTATTATCTATGGTTTAGCTTATGGTGGCAAAGGTTCTTGAAGTGTGTTGAATTGAGCCCTAGAATTCATTTTGAAACATGTATGGAACCAGTAGGAGCAAAGTTTATATACACAAAGTTTACACTTTTATCACTTAAAACAATATCACACACTATACTATTTATTTACATTAAGTGGTCGCAGACGATTTATGAGGCGAGTGTAGGAAGCCGTGCACAGGCTGGAGACACTATACATATGTCGTCTGACTGTTAAGTCGGTCTGGTATGGTATTGTCATCATTATCATTACCAACTGAAATGGGGACACCACCTATGTGTGTATTTTAACCCGAATATGAATGAAGGATCAGTCTAGAATGGTGTGAGATGTGTAGCTTTGTTACTGACTAAGGTCAGCTGTTTCATCAGTCAGGATCATGGCTAGAAGTATCCCCTGACCTATCAAACATACGCCAACACTACCAGACCGACTCAACAGCCACATGTAGTGTCTCTGTTCCCGCACACGCTTTCTAAGCCCGTGTCAGAAATCGTCCGCCGACCATTTTATGTCAATAAATAGCATAGTGTTTTAAGTGATGAAAGTGGTGTCAATATAAATTTTCTTCCTGATGGTGCCATACACGTGGCAAAATGTACATCATTTAAATATACTTCAAGAACCTGGCCACCATAAGATAACTACTTGTTTGTTGTCACGTTTTATTCCATATCTAAGCTTAAGAGTCGGCAGGACCGCCAGCCATCTTGTATTTTCTGCCCATAACGCCAATATTAATGGTTGAAGCATATTACAGCACTGTTTACTAAGATACAAAGTTTGCAAACTATCTCATTTAAAAAGCTATTGAAATTGCGGATGTGATTTGTTATCCACCTTTTAATATTAATTGTTATTATTTTGTCAAACTAAATATATTGACTTAATTATAATTTTTTCAACCTCTAAAACAGAAGTTTTTAAATCCTAAAAGCAATTATCACAGAAAATATATTTAAGAATCATATAACATTTTCTGCTCGGTAATTAATCTTACGGTGCATGACTAATATGTTTCAACGTGAACGCATGTTTTTGCTGATCGGCGCTCGGACAACCACTGTTTCGCCTGGCAAATGACAGTCATCGGCAATGCAAAATCATTGATTCTGCGGACTCTTAAGCAAATCTTTAAGTCTTACGTAAAGATAATTTTTTGAATAATTTTCCTTTCATTTGCTATTTTTAAAAACTTACTAGGCCTACCTTTAAACTAAAAATTATGGATTATATATTGTATAAAATGTTGACCTAATAAAACCGGTGGAAACCAAATAGAGGGAAAACTTATTCTATTAGCCTCCATTAGATATATTATTAATATATTTAATATATTTTTGATATCTTTTTTAAATAGTAATAAAAAAGCACGGCATGGCTATGGACTGTTTCTTTTGTACATTGCCTTAGAAATTCTATTCCCAATAATGCTACTTAATTTGGTGGTGGATCAATGATAACTGTTATTGATTTCACAACTAACACTACTTAGTCCTATAAAGGCTATGAATAGCAATGACAGGGTATGCTATTTTGTTTGTGCCATGCAACTAAAAATCACTTTGTTAATGTAATAGAAGAACTAAATTATGAAATATGATTCTAGGAGTTGTGGAACCACTTTCAGGAGTTTCAGAAGACAACATTTTTTTTGCCCGACGACCATTTGTTTATTACTTAGTACAAAACCTAAAGTTTGTAATTATATTTAATGGAAGGTTGGTAAGACCAAAAGCATCACAAAAAATACCACCAAAAATGTCAAGTCCTCCCAAAAGAGACAATAATATTGGTAATACAAAATTGGACTTTTATAATGGAATCGGTAACGTAAATAGATTTATGGGTAATGGACAAGTAAGTTTTGGGAATAACCAAGGATTTGGTATGAAACCAAATGCAATCCACACCTATGGTCAAAATCCCAGTCAACAGGGATTAGCTCAAATCCCGGGACAAATTGATCAAGTGAATGGATTCAATCCTAACAGGTATCCTGTGCCTGAGAGGCCTCAATTAGTATATGGACAGAATATTGGATCAAACATCAGACATGAACAACAAAAAGTGCAACAATTAAGCTCACCTCAAAACTATGAGCAGCATAGTCCAGTTGATAGGTTTAGTTCTGATGGATATTCAACTGTGCAGTCACAGTCAATTCCATCAAACAACCGAGGTATCCAAAGACCTCAGAATCAGCAGCAGCCACCCCCCCAGAACTACTACTACCCTCAGTATGAAACATATGGTTAAATACTACCATAAAAGCACAATTATGTTGGATGAAGTGTCTGTTGGCTACAAGGATTTATAAATGTAGATATTTTTAAAGTTCCTAATTATTGCATACAGCAACTATGTGAAAGCCTTTATAAAATAATAAACAAATAAAGCCAATAGTGTAGACTTTAGTACAATATTTACAGGTCAGTTCTACATGTAATGGTTTAAATTGTCACAAAAAGAAATCTACTTTAAACGCAAAGCTCTATCAGCTGAACCAAACCATCTCAGTTAAAAAAAATCAAACTTTGTATTTCAAGCTCTATGTTAGATCTTTGAAAGATAAAAATTACATTTAATTGATATTTTTATATGGTCCGAATTACACTTTAAGCTAGCTTTTAGTCTGTAAAATTGTACATATCAAACAACTCTGCCACATATACTTTTAACTTTTATCTTGCTATTTTTCCCCTTCTAATTTTGGGTTTTGAAGGATTCTACTCTGTTGTATACACAGAGTTAATGTGTTTTACATTTTCATAAGAAATACAATGCTGCTAAAATGCTTTTAAATATCAAATATGTTCTGATAGATATTGTTTAGCCTACTGGCTGATTTACAAACACTGTGATATATTTCTTTTGTATTAGGTTAAATAGCTTGTATTTAAATTGTTATTGCTTTAGATTCTATTGAATATAATAAAAACACCAATTTACATCTGAATCAGTTTTTCAATTCACTGGCTATCAACAGTGTGTGCTTAGTTACCCTTTGGTAGTGATGTAAAATACCCAGGTATTTAAAACTCAGGGTAAATACCCAAAATCCATAAATACCCGGGTATTTTGGGTATTTATGAAATCGATTGAAATTCATTTTTATCCATTACATGATAAATTAGGATAGTCTATAACACCTTTTACAGTAACTTGAAGCTTTGCTAGTACCTTTTATTTAAAGATTTAGCACATTTTTTTATGAAATCAAGACAACACCTCATCAGAGAAATAGTGAACCTAAACCTACTTCTACTGTTATTAAATTATGATATTTAGAAAAATTTGTATTTTGTAAAATGGCTAGACAGACCCAAGGCCTGATTGATGTAGGCAGAATGGCAGAATACTGAAAGTACAGTAGACTCCCTCTTATCCGGACTCCTCGGGACCGAGGCTAGTCCAGATAACGGGTTTTCTGGTTAAACCGACGTCCCCAAAAACTTGTTAAAACGGAAACCGTGTACCGGTACTGTCATATTCGACTTTAATTTAGGAGAGCATTGTATTTAGATACATGATCACTGGTCTCAAATCTTTCCCATGAGAACAGTCGTTTCAGTACCGCTCACTTCTTGCCAATCTAGTCAGGTTAAACCAATGGGCTGATAAAAATTGTCCGGTTAAAAGGTGTCCCGATAAGAGGGAGTCTACATTAAACTTTTCTGTGTTACCGCTTAGTTGGGAACAATAATATATTTGGATAAACCTACTAAAAAATGTATCTCCTGTTTTTTGGTCTAACTTTGATATATTTTTGAAAGATTTATTGTGCTATAGATTCAAATTTTATGTATCACAAGTTTATGAAATTAGTTTTATTTTTATTTTGATACCAACAAAAGATCTGGAACAAAAATATTATTAAATCCTGCCATCCTACAGTTTGAATTTTAATTATTTTCTTAAGTTGTTTACACATAGGCCACTACTAGGTTAAATTTTCCTGTCTTTCTAAATAATAATTATTATTTTACAAATTATTTTTTTTAACTTTTAATAAAATAAATTCATCTATCTATCATAGAAATTAAAAAATCATAAGTAGTCAGGACCAGTGCAACCATGCGCCCAGGGTATTTATGCCGATTATGCTTTATGCTCAGACCTGGGTATTTATGGTGATCATACCGAGAAGTAAAA